TGCTGAAGTCAGGGTTGGTGTTTCTTCAGATTCACCCAGGAGCCTCTTGGTTCCATGGTGCTGTCAGCTATCTCCAGGGCACTGTAGCTGATTCAGTTCTGTGAAGGCTAGGGAAGGGGCTGTGTGAAGCTGGGACTTCATGAGGCCTGGGGTAGGGCTGTGTGAAACCTCCGATGTGTCTGTGTGAAGCCTGGGGATGCCTAGGGAAGGGGCTGTGTGAAGGACAGAGCAGCTGTTTGAAGACACCACAGTGGTGGCTTTCCTATGTCTGGGCCTCTATAAACTCACCCCTGCTTTTCAGGGCCTGATGTCTTCCCACCATTCTGTGGTGGGGAAGAAGTGTATTATCTTGGGAAACAATTAGATCCTGCCAGCCACATACTAGTCAGCTGAATTTGAATACAGTTCTTCGATCCTGTGGTCTGGATGCTTCTGGTAACAAGGTCACTATCCAGTGTATGCATGGTAGGGCGTGGAGAGAGCCTAGTGCAGGTCATGTGGGCAGTCAGAGGCTGTTATCAGGCATAGGCATCTCACCACCTTGGCCAGATGTGTTTTAACTTTCTGGGCTCCAGTCTTGAATGCTGAGCTGGTTCTGGAACAATCAGGAAGTGTAGAACCTGCCTGGTTCTTCTGTCTGTGTTTGTTTTGAATACTATAGATAATTAGAAACCGCTTCTGAAGTTGCTTCTCAAATATGCCCAGAAAGGAAGGAGTCAGATCCTGGCATTTCTAATTTGATATTGTTAGTCTTCTGCTTATAGAAATTAAGGAACAACACAGACAAACATAGCAGCTTTTTGTTTTGAATGAATGTGTAGCTCAAAACATTTTTATTTTCCATCAGTGATTTTGCCTTGGTGCCCAGGGGTTACCATACACATCTGGTCTCATTCACGTCTCCCTTTCCAGATGAGCTGGCCAGTTCCGAACAGTTAAATCTCCATTCAGAGCCGGTCCATTCCTGAAACACAACATAATCTCCACAAGTTCAATCTGGAAGAGCTTGCTGGGATATAACAGCAATTCTGCCAGCCGGCCTGGGTTTGTGCCTGGTGCTGCCCTTGATGCCTGCGTGGGCCTCACTCTCCTCCCCTGCAAAATGGGCCAATGGATAAGTAACTGCACTAGTCTCTGGCTCATAACTCTGGCACGAGGATCAGTGAGTTAATGTAAGTCCCTCAAACAGTCCAAGGCACACAGGGAACACCAAGTGAACGTTCAGCTTCATTCCTTAGCTTTACTTCCTTTAAAGTGGCTGAGCCAGAAATTACAGGGGTGAAAGCCCTTTCCTGCCTTGGAGTTGTTGATGTGGAGAGAAAATCACAAGCCCCCAAGGGGATGAGCACTGGAGCCTGGTCAGCTGGTGGCCTTGGAGACAGACAGCCTGGGACTCAGCCTCCTGAGGCCCCACAGATCTGGACAGGAGAGGGTCCCTGTGAGCCTGGTGTCTCTGCGGCTGGGCCTTTTTCCAGGCCCAGGCCCAGGCCCATGCCATGTTCCCTGCCTGGGGTCTGACTCTGGGAAACAGCAGAGTCCCACAGTCACAGTGACACGTGACGATGGTGACATGTGGCTTTCATCTGACTCTGGAAGTCAGCTCATGTGCTCCTTCCCACCCCAGCCAGTGTTTTGTCATGACAGCTATTTAACTAAACCTGAGGAAAACGCACAGGATCTCCACATTCAGGACTCTGCCAGCCCCGTCTGAGCAGTGATGAGTCAGTGGTGGGTGGAGGGGTCAGAAAGGGATAACAGCCAGGAACCAAGGCTCAGCACAGCTTTAGGAGTGACCCCCAAATCAGATCCAGAGCTGACCTTTACTAAACACACACACTGTCACAGGACACTGTGACAGTGTCACTGGACACACTCATACAGGTCTTTCACAGACACACGGTCGCTGGACTCATACATATACACGTACACACACATGCTCTATCACAGGACTCAAACACACATACACGCACACAGGGCTTATATATACACACACACAGGACTTACACACTTACATATACAATCACATGGCATACCTACACACACTTGTGCCCACATATAACACAAAATAAATAAAACATAACAAGAATTAAGAAAAAAAACCCAAAAGACTCAGCCACTAAGATACCTCCATCTTTCTCCGGGGATTGTGTCTGTTTTGGTCTCCAATACTCATCCTCCTGCCCGCCATTGGCCACGGCCTTCTCTGCTCACTTCCCCAAACACTCCAGCCTATCCCCCTCTCATGTCTGGACAGAACCTCTGCCGGACCCTACCAGGTGGCCTCTTCCTAGACCACACTTGAGGTTTTAGCATTAAAAAAGAATTTCTTCTATGCTTCAGCCTTGGGTATCCTGATCTTACAATGTGCCCAGACCCGAGGGACTGGTTTCAGACCCCAGAAAGATAAGGGGTCGTCTGGAAAGTGGGGGCATGTGTCACTTTTCTCCTTGCAGGAAGCAACTTGAAGGAGGAAGGGCTTGTCGACCCACAGTCTGAGGAGGAGGAGTCCATCATGGTAGAGAAACTATGGCAGCAGGAGTATGGGGCCGCTGCTCACCCTGCACCCACAGTCAGAAGTTGAGGGAGGACAGGAAGTGGGGGTCAGCTATCAAACCTTAAGGCCCATCCACCCCAGTGACCCCATCCTCCATCAAGACTCCCTAAAGGTCCCCCAACTTTCTGAATCAGTGCCAACTGCTGGGTCCAAGTGTTCAAACACAGGTACCCATTAAACCCCAATAGGAGAGAACAGCAGCGACCCCAGCATTCACGTGAGGGGTGCAGTGGTGACCCCCCAACACTCACGTGAGGGGTGCAGTGGTGACCCCCCAACACATGGGAAGGGTACAGCGGTGACCCCCCAACACATGGGAAGGGTACAGCGGTGACCCCCCAGCACTCACGGGAAGGGTGCAGCGGTGACCCCCCCAACACTCACGGGAAGGGTGCAGCGGTGACCCCCCCAACACTCACGGGAAGGGTGCAGCGGTGACCCCCCCAACACTCACAGGAAGGGTGCAGTGGTGACCCCCCAGCACTCATGGGAAGGGTACAGCAGGCCTAATTACATAGTTTGATTGATTTAGTCCACATGTGGGCCCTCAGAGGGAGCAGTAATTGCATTCCATCTTCTGAGTCACAGGGACAGAGATGTGTGGCTTACACATCATTCATAGCTTTGGAAGCTCAGCCCTGGGCCCAGGGTGTGGAAGCCCATTTTCAGGTTCCTCGTGGCTTTACCCAGCAGGTCCACATAGAGACAGTGATTGGACCACGGGCCTGAGTGCAGGTGTCTGAGATGGTCTGCACTTGGCTGTGCTGGGGGGAGGTCTTTTGCTCCACTCCTTGGCATTTCTATAAATACCAAAGGGCAGAGACAGGGCTCATTGGAATAGGTTCCAGGCCCTCTCGAGGGTATTCTGTATTTTCTACCTGTTTATCTCCACATTCTAAATCCTTCTATCTATCATTTCCTGCTGCTCTCACTCAAGAAAACTCTGGGGAACTGTAGGGTTGGTGGGTAAACGCCCCGCACTAGGGTGCCTGGGCTGTAGGTTCTCTGGATCTCGCGCTCTTCTGCAGCTCTGAGAGGGTATAGTTACTGGCTGGTGGCATCTTCCCCCAGGAACTAAAAGGCATCCTGGTGACTGGGTAGAGGGTGGGGACTTGAGAGAGAGCTGCTGCTGAGCTAGGCAGAGAACAGGCTGTTTCTCTTTCCTCTCAGGCAGACAGCGCATGTGCTGGGATATTGAGAATTGTCGGGAGAGGCAGGGAAGGTCAGCTCAGGCTCCATTCATTGACTCTCCTTGCCTTTCCACAAACACTTCTTTTCCCAAAGTTTCATGTGTGTGGCCCTGCAGGGACATCTGCTCTTGGCCATCTGAGCCTCCCTTGGTACAACTGCCAACTTCTCCCAGGCTTCCTGAAGCCAAGTAAGGCCGGCATCAGGACCCAAACAGCCCCCTTCTCAGCCCATCTTAGAAGGGGATTCATTTTTCCTGGGGATATCTAGCCCTCTGAGAACACATATTACGAATTCAACTTGGAAACACATCTTTTGTTTTGTTTCAATTATAGAAGGAAAACCCAAATGAATGTTCCCTGGACTCTTCTCCTCTGTGTTATCTGAATATTTTCATCCATGCTTACTGGCCCTGATCTTCCTGCTCTCAGCTTTAAAATAGGAATTATGTAATCCCAATTACTCTAGTTGTTCTGATGATTAAAGGAGTTCCCATACCATGGAGAGATGGCGGGAAGTGGGCCCAAAAACTCCTCTTGGCGTCATTTGTAGAAATTCTCAGATGTTTCTGCAGAGATGTGCACACTGATGTTCAGCAAAACATTGTGTGGCATACCCTCAGATTAGGGCCATGGCTTCCTGCATGGAGAAGGAGGTGGGTTTTGTTCCCTCCAATTTTCTTTACTTTTTATTTTTCTAAAGTTTATTTAGTTGTGTGTGTCTGTGTGAGTATGGGTACCCCACGGATGCTGGAAGAGGGGGACCAGATCTCATGCTAGTGGAGTTATAAGCAGCTGTGAGCTGCCCAGTGTGGGTGCTGGGAACTGAACTGGGGTCCACTGGAAGAACAGCATGTGCTCTCAATGGCTGAGCCCCTTGCTCTGATTTTTCTTAGCATGACTTGGACTTTCTATGCATGCTTTATTGGTATTTGTGTTTGAAATGGTAATAAAGACCACAGAATTGAAAGGAATGGGGTCAGCACTAGATGGTGGGTGAGTGTTGTGAGGCATTGTGATCAATGTGCAGTAGCTCATACAGAGAAGTCCAGGTCTGTCTGTAAGGACCATAGGCTGGCTCAGAAGCAAGCCATCTCTGAAGTCGGGGTCCAGCTGGCTGGCTGTCCCCTTGGGGGGCAGCTAGGTGTCCTGCTGTTGCTTTCTGCCACTTAAGTTCACGGCCTTCCTTCACTGCTCTGTGGTTTCGAGTTGACGGCTTTCCCAGATCTCACACCACCATCTTTTTACCCTGTCCCCAGGCATCTTGGCTCTGGAGAAGGCTTCGTGGAAGGAAGCGGTCGGTGATGGTGTCCTGCCTCTTGATGATTCTGTCTGCGGTGGCTGTCACCCACTTTCCTCCAGAGCATCCAGCTTCCACTCCAGGACTTGGTCCCATGGAGCCCCAGGGGAAAATGGGCATGCCTGACCCCAACATTTGGCAGACTTTGAACTCTAGCCAGAGGCAGCAGGCAAAAAACCCGGGCTTCCAGAGAGGCCAGGCTTTGCCCAGAAATTCCATCCTGGTCTGTGCTGAGAAGCAAAGCCACAGAAGGCGAGTGGACAGAAGCAGACACCCACTCAGGGTCAGGAGAGGTGTTCCTGTGACAGGAGGTCTGACACTCAGTGCCCACCATCCTGTGCTTCTAATTGAGAATGAGGTCAGAGATGCAGGAGGCACAGCCCTCGATCAGCCTGGGCATGATGGTCCCGTCCAAGAGACACAGAGTATGACAGACACCCTGGTTAGCCCACTCACAGGGAGCAGCCAGGCAGCTTTCCAGGCATGGGGAGGTGCTGCTGCAGTGAGCTTTAGGCCCCAACCATCAGAAGGTGAGGATTCCCTGCCAGGAGCCAGGGACAGAGGCTGGACTGGTGGGAAGGCTGGGGGTGCCACCTCAGGTTCTGTGACTCACTGGTGGTCTGGCTCTGTTGGAGAGCTGCGAAGGTCCTCGTGGTGCCACACTGAGACCCCTGGGTTATTGGTCAGTGCTGTGACTGGGGGGCCGGTTCCACCTTGGTTCACAGAACATGATGTGCAGACTCTCTGGCTACTGGCCCACGGGGAGGTGGTGGGCAAAGCCAGGGTCCCTGCCCATGGGCAGGTGCTGCAGGTCGGACTGTCTGCTGACGGTGCCCTCCAGGACATGTCTCCTCTCAGGCTCAGCCAGCTCTGCTCCCAGGGCCTCTGTGGGCTGGTGAAGAGGCCCAGTGACCTGCATGAAGTCCTGTCCTTTCATGTGGACCGTGTACTGGGACTCCAGCGGAGCCTGCCTGCTGTGGCCCGGAGCTTCCACAGTCCTCTTCTGCCCTACCGCTACACAGATGGTAGTCTGAGGCCCATCATCTGGTGGGCACCCGACGTGCAGCACTTGGGAGACCCAGATGAGGACCAGAACTCTCTGGCCTTGGGCTGGTTGCAGTACCAGGCCCTGCTGGCACGAGGCTGCCGCTGGCCAGGCCAGATGCCGTGCCTGGGCATCCATCATGCCGAGTGGGCGCGTTTGGCCCTCTTTGACTTCCTGCTGCAGGTAGGTGTGGTTGGGCAGTGGGGTGGAATGCTGTGGAGTTAGGGAGTTCCAGGTGGAGGCCAGCTTTGTCCTCTCCCCACAATGCTGGCAACTGTTGTGTAACTTTTCTGCCTGTTTATCCCGTGGTACCCTAGAGCAGGGCTTCTTAAACATTTTCCACTCAGGGACTGGCTAGATGTCTCAGTGGTTAGGAACACTGGCTGCTCTTGCAGAGGACCAAGGGTTGGTTCCCAGGACCCACATGGTGGCTCACAGCCATCTGCAACTCCAATCCAAGGGATCTGATGCCCCCTTCCAGCCTCGTCAGCACCAGACATGCCCATGGTACCCAGACATACATGTAGGCAAAACACCCAAACACATTAAAAAACAAAACAAACAGAACAACAACAAAGACCTGACCACTACCAAGGAAAAATTCCATTTGTGACCCTGTTTTACCCAAGAAATTTTTTGTGACCTTGGATATATAGGAATGTAAAATAGGCATATAAATGAAATATTTGCTGATAATAATGATGAAGAAATTTATTTTAAAACAATTCTCAGATATACACAAAATCTTGCCATTTGTTAAAGATAAAAGCAAATTTGTATATTAATGAGAGGCATAAGCTTATTTATTTTTATTTTATTTTGGTTTTTTTGAGACAGGGTTTCTCTGTGTAGCTTTGGAGCTTGTCTTTATTTTTAAATGAAGAGTTAGCACTTGGCACTATAGGACATAGGGCATCTTCAACACTTCCCTTTTTATAATTGATTATACTTTGATTTTATAATAAATCTGTAGTCCCAGACCAGGGAGGCGGGGCCAGGCAGCCAGGCCAATCAGTGAGCTCCAGGTTCAGTGGGAGTCTCTGTCTCAAAAAGTAACTGAGGAAGACATTCAAAGATGACCCCTGGCCTCCACAAATGCATGCATTCACATATGCACGCACACCTTCATGACACATGAGAACACACACACACACACACACACACACACACACACACACACACACACACACACACCACCCTCTACAGAAATGGCAGAAGTATGCTTAGGGCCATGTCAGAAATTACTGCAAATTCTGTTTCATTCTCAAGTTATAAAATCAGGACCCTCTCCCCCCAGTCTTACTGTTAAAATACCAGTTCACCACTGTTTACAATTTTTTGATGTATTTATTTTATTTTAATGTGAATGAGCGTTTTGCCTGTGTGAATGTATGTTTACCACATATATGTCTGGTGGCCACCGAAGCCAGAGGAGGGCATTGTATCCCTTGGAACTACAGTCACAGATGATTGTGAGCTGCCACGTGGATGCTGGGAATCAAACCCAGGTCCTCAGCAAGAACAAGTGGTCTTAACCACTGAGGCGTCTCTCTAGTCTCAACACTGTTTATAATTTTATATCTTTGAACCAACATGGAGTCAAGAGTGTTGAAGTAAGGGGAGAGAGAGAGAGAGAGAGAGAGAGAGAGAGAGAGAGAGAGAGAGAGGAGCTGAGGCAGAAAGAACAGGAGAGCCATAAAGGGAGGTGCCCGTCCATCTGGGCACTGAGCATTCACTGTGGCCAACTGAGACTCTTGCTTCTCTGTCTGAAAGAGAAAAGCCTAAAGTTGTTGAGTGGAGGGGGTGAGGTGGGATCTAGGTAGAGTTGCTAGCAAGGTTAAGGTCCAACTGGCGGCTGTGAGTATCAGCTGTTTAATTGGCCCATTGTGCATGAGTGTGGCTGCTCCAGGCTTGTCCATGTGATGCTGGCTGTGGATATGGGGAGCTTGAAACAGCTGGTCATTCACACTCACAACCAAGAAGCAGAGAACAATGGATGCTTTGTGGTGATTGGCTCACTTTCTCTATTTTATGCATCCTAGAATCTCTTACCCAGGGAAATCCTGCCCACAATTAAAATGTGACTTCCCCATATAATGGACTGTACCCCCTGAATCATGAGCCAGAATAAACCCTTTGTCCCTTAAGCTGTGCTTGTCGGGGTATTTTATCACAGCAATGGGAAAGGAATTCAAGCCACGCCCCGTGTGCATGTTCTCCACAGCTAGAGGGGCTGAAGTGTCTTGGGGTTGGATCACAAACTACCTCCAGTTGGACTCTTGTCCTAATGTCTATCTGTGGGCCCTGCCTGTGTTTGATGTTATACCAGCCCCAGTGGCTTCTGTTTGCTAGGTCATTTATGGATATACTTAACACAAGTACCTGGTGGGAGTATACACTTGGTAAACGCTAGTCAGGAACAGACCCAGACCATCCCCATGGCAACCTTACTGGTGAGACGCCATGTTTATTCATGTTCTCAACTTGAGCGGGCTGGGGAGACAGCTCAGTGGGAAAGGTGCTTGCTGTGTGTGTGAGCATGGAGACCCGAGTGCAATCCCTGGCAACCCTGTGAACACCCAAGTGTGGCAGTGAGTGCTGGAGTCCCAGTGCTGGGGAGGAGGAGACAGACTATTGGGCGGGGAAAAGGTGCATGGGGAACACATCTGACCTCTGACTCCTATACGCACATGTATAGGTATGTACAAGTGCATGCGCATGTGTGTGTACACACACACACACACACACACACACACACACAGAGAGAGAGAGAGAGAGAGAGAGAGAGAGAGAGAGAGAGAGAGAGAGAGATTATTAGTGAAGTATAAAATGGAACCATTGAGGTCCAGAGAGATTAATTTCCTTGTCTAAGGTCACAGCCAGGGGACTGAGAGGCTGCCTGGCTGGCCTGGCCCAGAGCTTACCCACTTCTCACAGAGTCACTATTGAGCTGGCCAGTAATGGGAGCAGAAGGGGACATTTGCAGGGGGGCCCTGGAGCCCTGAGGCCCAGGGAGTAGCTGCTTGCAAAGCCCCACGCCAGCAATGTGCTCACGATGGCTTTCTGCTCTGCACAGAGCCCCCTCTGTTCATCTCCAGGGCTGTAGTGTGGGACCCTTCCTCAGCTGCCAAATTCTGACAAATCTCTGCAGCCAAGGCGCACATAGGTCAGCTGTGTGGTCAGACACCGCTGGGCTGGGATCATGCCACCTTTCCCTAGCTTGGACAGCGGTCAAGAAAAGCAACCATCTGGCTGGCATACCTTCCTAGAAATCTCAGCGAGGCTGCAGAATGTGCGAATCTGCACGGCACCTGAGGTGCTGTGTGACCCACGGCTGGCCACAAGCACCAGATGCAGCTCACTGAGGTTGGTCTGCTACCAGCCTCCCTCATACTCCTGTTAGAAAACTCAGAGGCCGGGAAGAAAGTGCTGGGGTCTGGTACCACCATGTTTCCCTGTGCAGGGGGCTTTTCTCCCTTGTGTTTCCTGGGGAGTCTATTTCTATTCAGAGAGAGGGAGAGAGAGAGAGGTTCCATTGAAGTCCCCGAAACCTGAGTTTCTTGGGGTTGCTCACAGGAACATGGGTGGGGTTACCAGAGCTTGGACAATTATGCCACTGAGGACCCCCCACCCCAACAACTGTTAACTGCTTATAGATCCTGGGGGTGGGGCTCATAAGTGTTGTGAGACATTGTTCCCTGACCCTCCACAGGGGACAGTTAGAGACCCACCTCGTGAAGACCCCTGTGGGTAATCACAGCTACTCTTACTTCCAGTGGCAATGACATGTCACACCTGGAAGACAGCTCCACACTCCAGTCTGCCTCTCAGGCGCATGTCACTGTCTGACTTGGTGATCTGTGGAGAAGTCAGGTGAGCTAAGTTAAGTCGGTAGTGTTGGCATTTGAAGGAGGCTCATGGCCCCCTAAGCTAGGACCCAGAAGGCCTCAGCTGCCAGGATCCTGGCTGGGCCCTGTCTCTTCTTGGGGACAACACAATGGCTCCTAGTGTGTCTCTTTGCCTCTGTTACAACCTGTCCAACTGAAGCCTGAGAGATGCCTTTGTCTCAGTTCTCAGCAGCAGAGCCGACACCATGGTCCCAACAGGACTGACCCACCGTAGGAGAGAAGGCAGCCATCCAAGGGTGTGTGTGACCCAACTCCACAGTGAAACTTGAGTGTTGGGAGGTAACCGACTCAGCTAGTCTGGAGGGAGTGAGGAGCCGAGAGTGCTTATAGCCAGATCCCTGTCAGGCTGCAGCTGGGGGATGCTCCTGGAGGAGCATTCAGTGATGGAGCCGCCCCCCACAGCAAAGCTTCAGAAGCTGCAGCCCAGAGGACAGGCTCAGCCATGCAGGTGGGCCGGAGGATGTCTGTCTTCTGTCTCGGTTAGAGCCATTACCTCCCTGTCAGACAAAGCAAGGCCTTCAGTGCCGTGGGTGGCCCTCTGGCTTCTCCCTCTCCAGCTCTTTGTCTTGGCATTCGGCCTCGGTCACTTCCTAATCCAGCTAGAGCACGGTCTCAGGGCCACACGCACACACACACACACACACACATGCACACACACACGTGCACACACACACGCATGCACACACACACACACAAGTGGGAGTGGGGGTCATGTACCTCCCCTCCTCAGACACAAAAAGGAGATAACTCCGAGTGAGCGTGGCCTCATCAGGGAGCCCTTCAAAGCTGGTGAAGTATTAGTGAGTCTCCCACTGGCCTCAAGGAAGTGAACAGTGATCTGTGAATTGCTATGGGACGGGCGGGTTTGGGAGGATGCTGCACCCCTAAGGACCATGGTGCGGCAACTGCAAGGTTGGAAGCAAAAACTCTGAACTACAGTGACATGTAATCTTGTCGATTTTAGTTGGGGGGGCTGAGCAGACACACCCCAGTCAACACGGGAAGAACCCCAAGGAACTATGGAATAATATCTATGTTCTGCTGAGTCCCTGGTGTCCTGAAACCAAGAAAAGAAGCAAGGTGTGGAACTGTGAGGGGCTCCCTTGCATCCCCAACAATGAGTCTCAATTTTTTTCTTACCTCACTGGAGTCCTGCCTTTATTTAAAAGCCTTTTAAACAGAAAATGAAAAAAGAAAGTCTGTGTTCTTTGTCCCATTTCATTCATGGTATTAGTTACTTGTCTCACAGCTCTAACAAAACACCTCACAAGAGTC